GTGCAGTGTAGTATAGAGTTGCGTTATTTTGCGAGGGGTGCTGGAATTCTGGTGTGTGGCGGGGACAGGCATGATGTCCTAGGGGGAGGATGGTTGAACGACTGGTCAACATTAGACCATGGACCGTGGCCTTTATATTGCACGTGGAGTGGATGCCATGCAGTATTGTGTGATGTGCTGAAAGTGGTGATGGTAGGAATAGCTGGTGTATGTGTGTTGGAGATGGAAAGTGTGTGAGAGTTGGAGGTCTGCAAGACGGAGCGGTACTCCTCATTTGTTCACGGAGCGTGTGCTGTACATTACGTGTGTGTGTGTGTGTGTGTGTGTGTGTGTGTGTGTGTGTGTATGTACGTGTGTGCGTGTTGCCAGACCGCGGAACAAGCTCTGGGCTGCGGTGGGAACGGAAGCAGGGACATAGCACCGACTTTTGCGGGGCTGCGGTGGGGACGGAAGCAGTGACATAGCACCGACTTTTGCGTAACGCGAGGAGGAGGAGGAGGAGGAGGTGCCCTGTTCTGTTGGGTCCTGTGCTCGGGACGGGAAACGTGTAATTCCAGGAGACGCGTTGGGGGCGACGACGGCGCGAAGCCCGCCTGCTCCGCTCGCTCGCGGTCGCTGCTCGGCGACCCGGCCGGGCCGCGCCATTCTCGAGGCCACGCAGTTCGATTGTGACCAGCTCAGACGGCAGAAACACACAGCACAAACGAACAAGTTCCAGGAGCCGCGTTGGACAAAGAGCTACGAGTACAGCATTATGCTTTAAATATGGGGGACCCGTGGGGGACGCAGTCCCGTGCACATGGCACATGCACAGAGCGCCCATTTTTGGCAGCCCTGCCTGGGCAGCCCTGCGCAGCGATTGAAGTGGTAAATGGTGTCATTGCGACGACGACCGTGGCGTGCGCCTCCCCTGAGATCCGATGTTGCGAAAAAATCAGCCAGCGCAGATCCCAAATAGATCAAAAGACTGAAATTCATTGAAGTAGACTGAAGTAGACCAGACTGGAGTAGCCTGGACTGCACTGGGGTGGGCTGGACTGGCCTGGACCAGATAGACTGGACTAGACTGGTCTGGACCGAATTGGACCTGGGCTGGGATGGACTGGAGTAGGCTGGACTAGACTGGCGCGGACTGGACTGGGCTGGTGGACTGGACTGGACTGGACTGGTGTCGACTGGGCTGGGCTGGAGTGGGCTGGACTGCATTGAGCTTGGCTGGGCTGGAGTGGGCTGGAGAGGACAGGACTGGGATGGACTGGGACGGACTGGGCTGGACAGGATTGGACTGCACTCGACTCTGGATTCTACTTCACTCCACTTCACTCTACTCTGCTCTACCCTACTCTACCATACTCTACTCTTCCGTTGCCATTCTGGCTCAAGCGATCGCACGGCCGCGCTCGCGCGCGCCCCCTCCTTGGCGAGATGCAGCTGCGTGATGGCGCGGCCTAGATCAAGGGAGGAGGGACCACCCCGACCCCGATGATGCGCGTGTACGAAACGGCCCTGGGCGTTGACTAAACAGCCCTGCCCTGTGCGACTGTTTCCTTAGGTGCGTTTCCTCAACGGCTTCGCTCGTCGGGGTGCTTCCTCTGAGGGTGGATTCTCTGCTCTCTACTAGAGGAGATTCAGCGCCGCCGACGCCGCCGCCCTCGCGGACGCGGCGGCCCGCGCGGCGCTTGGCGCACGAGCGCCGCGGCGCACTGCAGGCCCTGGCGCGACGCGGGCGGCCGTCGCGGCAACAGCGTCCGCTGTGGCAGGCCTGCCGCCGGTCGCGACGGACGGGGCGGGCGCTGCGGGGCGAGGCGCCGACAGAGCCCGTGGGCAGGCTGGCGCGGTGGCGTCGGTTGCGAAGGCCGCGAGGCGCAGGTGGCGGCGCCAACGGCTGGCTGCGGCTGGCGGGTCTGTTGGCGCAGCCGCCAGCTGCCGTGGCTGGGAGCCCGCAGCCCGCTGTGGATGCAGCTGCCGATGCTGACCACGCCGAGGCAATGGCGACGGCACCTGTTGCAGCGCCTGCCCCTCGGGCGAGTGCATGGGTCCCGCAAGCGGGGCTGCGGAGGCGGAGGCGCTTGGCCCCGAGGAGAGAGTGGCTGCCATACAGGCGGCCCCCATGGGTAGGGGGGGATGGGCCCCCGCCGCAGGCCGTCCTTGAGGCGATCGACACGTTCGCTCTGGCGCTTGGCCGCGCCGAGAACGTCCCGCCCGTGATGACGGCGGCTGCTGCGGAGGCCATGCGCTGAGCGGGTGGGGCACGCTCAACGGAGCGGCTGGCTGCGGCACCTGCCCCGCGCCTGGCCTCGCCGAGGCCCAGGCGCAACGGTCGACGACGGTAGGTCCGACTTGCAGCCCACCGTGGAGGTCATGTTCCTGCAGTGTCCCGCCTTCTCGTGAGTCTTTTTCGCGGAAAGAAGGTCCGTGTGAAGATGAGCGTGCGGGCCTGCAGGCGTGATGGCCTCAGGGCGATGCACACCTCGCCCTCGGCATCTGGCTGGGGGCTCAA